TCATAAACCAAATGCAATTGGAGTGACACAGAGCTTACTGCATTTTGTGGTTGCTTAAGTGCACATTATCCTCTGCGGACGACAGAAATGGTACCGTGCGTTTGTGGAAGACGACCATTTTAATGCGGAGGAAATTGCAATAGGTAATTTATGCCATGGAACGTAAACGGCGACCGCGTTTTAATTCTGCCAAGCATACAGGAGTATCTTACATTATTTCAGTTTTGACAAGATATGGGTAAATAAGGAGACTTTTATTTAGCCGTCTGCAAAAATTTAACTTAGCATAAAGTAGCATTTAAGTAGCTCGTATTCTATCGTCTAATTTTAATGGCATTTTACATTCAAATACACTTTACAGAAAGCAAAAACTGCCATTTTACAGCAATCAGTTTTAAAAAGGGAATACGGTTCACGATCTTTGTGTTGTTATGAAGATACCTTATTTGACATGTAAAGTATCACAATATTTACAAGCAAATTTATACACTTCATTAGAGATATAAACAAGCGCAATTATGTATTCTACGTGAATTGATATTTCATGATTTTAAATAATCTGACAATTGATCACATTTCTGAAACAGAAATCTACCCTGTTCTCAAGTTTAACTCGCAAAACACGCCATTTACTAATACAATGGGTTTTAGGACCTACACATTTGTTCACTCTTTCCACAGAACCTGTTTGATCTTGTAACTGCATCGTAGGTCGCCAAAACTGTAAAATAGTTAGCTACTTTCAAGCAAGTTTGATTTTTATAGGACAGCAAAAGGACGTCCATTCAAAAACGGGCGTAATTTTATGACTTACAAAACGTATGACAATGCCGCGAGGTACTCAGTACTGCAAATCGACATAACTCTCACAAACCGATAGAGTATTTCAGACTTTCAGTTAACGTTTTTCAAGATATGTCATTCAACTTGCAGATGTGCGTTTCAGTCAAATGAATGCAATGAAAGAAATTTCAGGGCATCAAAAATCAATGCAAAACATTAACATATTTTAAGTCTCCATTGGTATTCAAGTTAACCGTGATTTTTGGCAAGCATAAACTGTAATGGTGCATATAACAGGAGTGGCACAGAGCCCGCTGCGTTTTGTGGATGCTTTAATACACCATATCCTGTACCGACGACAGAAACGGAACGACGCCCTTGCGGAAGTGAAAAATTTTCATACAGAGTAGATTACACCAGGTAACATATCTCATGAAATATAAACTGGAATTAAAAAATATGGACTTGACTGGAAACTGCTCTTTAGATGGCGTTGTCGACCTGTTTTTTATGCAGCCGTATCCTTGAATATTGCAATCCTGACTAATAAGTGGGCGTTTGTCCAGTCGTCTGCAGTATTAATTGAGTAATTGTTCAGCGCACATTCCTCAGTTACCTGCAATAATCTATAAAATTTAATATATCTAACTGACATGCACTCTTTGAATTCCTGTTCAAGAAATATTAACCAAAATCCCGAAATCCCTTTTCGATTTAAAGCACTAATAAAGTGTGTTTAGAAGATTGATTTTCGTGATTCACAGTTCCGATCTGTTTTATTGACGCCAGGATGCCGGCCCCTGACTGAAGCTCTAATCGGCCACCTGCTAAAATTCCGAATAGAAAAAATGTCAACTCAAGTAGCATACATTTTCCCCGTCGTTTTTTTACGAACTTATAGTTTCACATAGATTTTGAAAGAAAACAGGCTTAACGTGTCTTTTTAAGAACATATTCGGTAGAAAAATAAGTCTGTTTTAAATTTCACGTTTGCAGATGCAATGTTTTTGAGTTTAAAAGGGTTTTAAATTAGGCAAATTTTCAAGCCATCGAAATGTTTACTCAAATAGCATCATAGCTGTACTTTTATTAATTCACTTTATGAAGTGAACAAAATAGTCCACATTTAGTAAAAACTTCATGAGCCCTATGTGGTATGTTGCTGATAGTCAACACAGCTCTAAGTCACGCGCAATGGCAAATGGGCACAAAATTTTGTTCGAACTTTTTAAACCTAAATGACCCACTTCCTTGATTTTTACATTTAAATGTGTACAAAAAAGAATATCTTAATGCGTCTTAAATCGTTGGAATAATGCGCCAAATATAAGTATTATTTGCAGATGGTTGAAGAACGCATATGCAAGTGAAATACCCCACGATTACAGTCCACAAAAATCACAATCGGCACAACATTAAACTACTCATTTCCAACTGAATTCGCAATTTAGAATTTAAGTCAATATCATGCGGGATTCACTGCTGGCTTGAGACTTAAACATGCTTTATAAGAAACCTTTACAAAACTGTCGACTCTGACAGTAACCTTGTATTAACAAATAACAACTTTTGAATAGTTTTAAACCCGACCTGCCGTTGAATATGCTTTTAGGGCTTAAAAACTGAAAGACGCATATTCTTCATTAAGAAAATACATTCATTTATATATGCTCTTAAGCAGGTATCACATGAGATTCATAAAGTTTCGAAATGGCTACGGACTACGATCTATAATGAGAGCTACTGATTTTAAATAAAGTTGAATAACATCTTAATTGCCGTGAAATAAGCACAAAAGTTGTGTTTTGCTTCGGCTTTATACGAAATGTGTTTAAAAATGGAACTTCACCGCAAAGTACTGGAAAATGTAGCGCTACGTTGGCATCAACTTTGAACTGAGTTTAATTTTTAGGGAGGCCGAAAGTACGTGCAGCCTAAAGGCGGCAACTTGCAATAGATTAATACCGTGAGATAATCAGTATTACGAATCGACCTAAGCAATTATTTCGGAAAAACGAAACGTTTCGAAATTTCAGTTGATGTTTTCCGAAATATGCCCCTAGTTTGCACGAACGTCGTCGACTTTGCTAACCGTGGCCCTGCTTTCGACTTGTAATTGGATTCTTGACAAGCGACTCTGTCAAAAGGCACATTCCAACGACAGGTCCGCTATGCAAATATGCGGTAATACCGACTACTTTTCAAAGAAAATGCATGCAATATTTAAATGAGCAAAGAATTCATATGCAGATTGACCATGCAACTTCTCCATCCAAACGAAAGCCCTAGAAGCGTTCTACACATTTCACTAAATTTAGCCAAGTGATCGTATAAAGAGACAAAATGCGTTAGTTATATTTTTGTTCATATGTTTATTACTGACAATATGTTATGACTGCTAACAACGGGGAAGACTGTCTCCCATGTCTCTGCCGGTAAAAACATACTGCCTATATCATGGGCCGCAGTGTGGCTGCTAGTTGGGCTCGAGAGAGAGAGCCCGCAAGGCACAACTGGACGAGGGAGTTCCGTAAGAACGATCGGTGAGCGTCCCCTAACATTCTATATTCCCGATCGAAAACTGACAGGGCAACGGCCTCGTGGCCCAGTGGTAAGAAGCGTGGACTTCTAAACCAACAGGCCGCGAATTCGAGCCTCGGGTGTTTCAAACTTCGGGGTTGGGAATGACTGGGTGACGACGGCTAATAAGCCAAAAATGCCCATTCCAGCCGCTGTGCGGCTGCTGGTTGGGCTCGAGAGAGAAAGAGGACCTAAGGCATAACGGAACGATTTAGTTCCGTAAAAAATATCGGTGAACGCCCCTCAAGCATGTTTATTACTGTCGAGTTCCGTTTCATTATGCTGCATCCCCCAATGCCTAGCTCCTAGAACGGTAGGTGAAGTCACATATCCTAAAGTTGAAAATTTGTATTTTCCTAACATTGCTTGTAGACATTGTCCCATCATTTTAGACAATATGCAATGTTCGCTTCCTCTTTGAGTGCCATAGTATACGTTTACTTTTTATTGATCCCGCCTAAACTATCATGGATAATGTGATCTTGCTCGACTCATCAAAAATCCGATCACAACAGATTGTCTTGTCAAACCTATCCATTGATCAGTTACCTTTAAACTTTTACTTCCACATTTATAGATGACTGAAATGTCATAGATTCACGTAAACAATATCGCACCCCCTTTCAATTACAAACAACTGGTGCAGTGTTATGCAACAAGAACAGCAGCAACGGCTGCGGCGGGACCTCACAATCGGCCAATCAGGTGACGGCCTCAGGTTTAATGGGATCGGCCAATGTTTTTACAAGCCTGGGTGATGGTTCTGATTCCACTGTGTATATTTTGCAAGCTATAAAATATATAAAAAGTCTGAATTTAGGAGAAAAGTAGTCTATATAAATCTCTGAATAATCATCTAGTTTCTTCTGCAGCGTGTCATTAAAATGATATGAATGTCCTTTCTTTTTTAACCCCGAATGTTGCCCGTCGAATACGTGGACATCTGTTTAAGTAATTTGACCGCAGAATTAGGTTTAGCCAAGATTTAAGATGACAAGCTGAGAGTGTTTGGTCGTCAAGCGAACGAAAATAATCGTTTTGGCCCTACGACCACAAGAAACTGAATTTGGGAAAGGCCTTAAAACAATTCACTCATACATTTATTGTGGCGATGCCACTAGTAGTGGCTGCAGTAGCCACGCGCTCTTCGCCCTTTTTCAAATTCAACTTAATCATTTCGAGTCTGCAGATTCTGGTGTTCTTTTACATCCAAATAAAATAACTGAGAATTGTTGTCATACTAAAAAGCTACAGAGTAAATAACAATACTTTTAAACCGGTCACTGATCTAGGTGCTGTTTTTCAAAAGATTAAAGCCTGTCATAATTCAGAACCTGCAAAGGATGTTTAGTTAATTGTGACGTCGAAAAGTAGCCAAAAACTAAAGAATGTTATGTGACGCATCTGGAATCTGGTCAGCTACTCCTTGGACTCCCAAGCTCTGAAACTGCGCAACTTGCTTATATAGTTTACTCTCATGGTCATCGTTATTCCCCTCCGATTGGTTGAACTGCTGTCCACTTACAGCAGCCCACACGGGTTGGACTACAAGCCTTCGGACGCATGTTCAACCATTTACACGCTGCTTTTTGCAGCAGACCGCTTGATTTTATTGGGGTGCAGAAAGTGAAATCAAGATGGCCAGCAATGCATCCACGAACGAAAACCTTTCTTGTACGTTGAAGGAGGCATGGCCCGGAGGACCTACCAATGGGGCTTTTCTCGACTACAATCGACTCACCTTCCTCTCGGTAATCGGCCTCCCCGTGTGCGCAGTAGGCGTCTTCACCAGCGCTCTCAGCCTCTGTCTCTTCTGCCGAGACAATACGACCCCGCGAACTACTCGCAAGATCCTCATTGTCACATCAGTGGTTGATGTACAGTTTCTCCTCTTCTCCATGCTCTACCTCCAACCCTTCATCTTCTGTAGGGAAAATTGCACTTGGAATCAGTTCTTCAAGTCGCTTCCCTATATTCTGCCTATATTTTCCATGGTAAATATTTTGGAAAGCCTGAGGAATTGGTTGGTTGTACTCATCGGCGTGGAGCGCTTCATGGTGGTCTGCTTTCCTGTTCGCAGCAAGGTCTGGTGGAATGGGAAGATAACAAACTGCCTAATAGCCGCCTGCATTGGATTATCCATCTTCGTTCGAATTCCTCTGTTCATTTATCTAATCATAGATGATGCGGGAGAGGAGTGGTCTCGAGTGGCGGCATGGCTTTACCAAGTACACTCCTTCACCGACAGCATCATGGTCACGCTGATACCGCTGGTTATCCTGATTGTCTGCAGTCTAAATATTGCTCGTGACCTCCGGCAGTCGGATCGTTTTCGACAGAAGCAGACGGATCAGCAGCAGCAGGAGGAGGATGCGTCAGGGGAGAGTCACAGGAAGAGCACCAGTTCTACTTCCAGTGTTGTTCGACGCGTCAGACTGACACGTGCCCTTCTCATTGTCATCGTCACCTTCACACTCTTCATGCTCCCCCTGGTGCCAGTAAGCATAATTCAAATTGTTTTGGACCACTTCTTTCCGACCTCATGCGTCTGCCTGGTCGCTCTTTACGTCTGCTCCTATGTGGCTGCACTTGGCTCGCAGTTGAACTCAACAGCCAATTTTTTTATCTACATTGTCTACTGGAGCAAGTACCGGAAGATGCTACTGCGGATGTTGGGTTGTAAACATGCTAAGCCTCTGCAGCGGTTGGGGAGTCAATTTAAGGTGAAAATTGGGCTGCCACATCGAAGTGATTCTGTATTTGTGCGGCGTACAAATTAGCGCAAAAAACAGTCTATTTGGCGCAGAAGGTTGAATGCAGCATGCCAGACATTCCAACATTTACTGACGTTCCTCGTGATGGCCTGAAGGCATGGAGCCTGCCAAGACTTCAGGCTTGTTTTTCAGAGTAATATTAAAATTTTATTTTTAAAAAAATTTGACTTGATGCCTTATTCAAAAATTCGGACGCATATAAGTCCTTTCGCGTACTCCGGTTAATAGAGAATTATCTATACTATGAGTTAACAAGACGCTTAATTCTGCCTCAAGAAATGGCTTCCCCTTTGAAGGCTGAATAAGCATTGTGTTCTGATTAGCGATTTACGAACTGTTTCGTATTATATTTAATGCAGGGACATTTTCTTCTATGATCCATGATTGGCGTTGAAAGGCTGCACGTTAAATAAATGGCTCTGAATTATTGATGCTAAGTTTAATTTTCGGAGAGCGCAGATTGTAATGTTTTTATTAAAATGTAAGCTTTTTTGTAAAGCCAAAAGCAATAGCCTAGATTCTATTCAAATCCTTAGTTCCTCAGACTATAGGAATTCTAAATCGGTCTATTTTTACAACACAGGTATTAGTTAAAGACCCAGATACACGTTTCGCCGTTATTCTGCCATCAGGAGTGGTTCGATTCACCAAAAGGTCCTCCGCGTTTCTCGTGTTTTTGTGGTAGACACTCCAGCTTCAAAATTGCAGCTTCTCGATTTCCCAGAAATTTGTAGTTAACCTAGGGCGAATCAGTCTATTTGATATTATAGGCCCAGACTGAAATTTCAAATGAATATCTTGGCCGAAGTCCAGTAGTCTATATATCTCAGATAGATAATTAATTTACTGGAAAGTCAGGTAAAAACTGCAATTTGAAAACTGTCGAATTAACAAGAGAAGCGGACGCGGAAATTTTGGGGACCCATTGATGGGACGAGTCCTCCTCAGCTGTGTCATACTGCGGCAGAATATCGGCAAAACACGTACCTGAGTTTTTAACTAGTAAAGGTGCTCTCAAGTATGGTACATCGTGCTTTCTACGCATAGTAGGTGGGCTATCTCATGAAATCGCAATAGAAACTCTGAAATGCGTTTTCGTTTCGAAAAGATTAATCAAGTAGGGTTGCAGAAAACAATTCACTTATTGCACGGTACCGGCCATCAAAAAAAAGATCTTATCAGCTACATCCAAAAATCCTACTCCGTAAAAAAAGGTTGCTCAGTTAACAGGAAGTTTTTTATTGAATTTCGATGCCCTTAAAGAATCATTAATATTTAATGGAAAATATGCCAAAAGTTCACGCTTTTGCTGATTCCATATAAAATCTTGTCTCCTTGCAATTTTGCACTCGAAGGAAAAGTATAATTCGGTATTAGAAAGGTTCTAATTGTGAGATTTTTTAAGAACAGCAAATGGACGTTCATAAAACTTCACGTCTCAGTGAAACTAAAAATGTGGCTCTAATCCAAGAATTAATTTTATGAAGCCCATATAATCTCCTCTCAATACCGACGAGAAACGTATTTTTTCCATACGCGGAAATTATACGTCTTGAAATTTGGGAACCCTGAATGCATGTGTAGCAGCGGGTCGGTTTTAAAATTATTCGCGAATAAGAAACGTTTTATAAAAACAAATTATACCTTCCTTCGAGTAAGAAATTGAAAAAAAGACGTAATATTCTACCGACTGAGCAAAAGAGTAAATATTTTTATGCAGATTTTTAAAGAAATATAATTGCTTCCTTAAAGGGTGCGACATTTAAGGAAAAAATGCATGTTACTAAAGTAGTCATTTGTTACGGATAATGGTTTTGAGATGCAAATTAAAAGACATTTTTTCGAAAGTCGGCTTCCTGATGTAACTGAAGTATAACAGAATTATACTGGTTAGTTTTACAAACTTTCTTAATTAATCTTTTCATAACGAAAACGCATTCGATCTTTCTGTTGAGATTTCGTGAGTTAGCCAATTTAGCGTATGTACAACTGATTTCTGTTGACAGTTTGTGAATGTTACACGGTTATTCCGCTGTAGCTACTGAACTTCTGCCCAAATATTTATATAGAATTTCAGCTTTATCCCATTAGTTTCTAACGGAGTGATTTGCTCCAAGTTAGCTATTAATTTCTAGAGAAGTCAAAAGCAGTAATTTCAGTCTATTTTTTCATACTCTTGCTACATCATAATACCTATCTTTCTAACATAATCATATATCGAGTGGTTAGTTTGCATAAATTTCTCTCGATAAAAGAACTGGCTATAACATCTTCAGTTCGAAACGAAAGTTTGAAAAGACTTCTTGTTTCACCAAGTGGGAGTTAGGAATTACCGTATAACACTCAAGTTTAGCACATACCGTTATATTTAAATAAGTTGTTATATTATTGTATAATGCAGTATTCAAAAAAATACACAAAAGCACTCGTCCATTTTCGTTATTTGTCAAGATACCAGGAATATTATTTACATATAAATACATATATATATTTACATATAAATTTTCGAACTTAATCTAAGAATCTTTGTTCCGAAGAATTTTCCTCAAATTCGTGCGCTTATTGACTCGGGAATCAAACATGGCATAATTACTCATGTTTCCCTTCAATAGCCTTGTTCAACCTTAATATTACCTCGAGATAGTAACTTGAGGTTGCACACGAGATGGCATATCCACTAAACAGATCCGTATAAGTGAACATGAAATTGACAGACATGGCGACAAGTTGTATGACTGTGCCGAAGAGATCGGAAAAGTACTTCATCTACGTTGTAGGACTAAATCTGGCTGAAGGCTACGACTAAATGGACAACCTTCTGAAGTCCGAACATCCACTCAAGCTTCCATGATATTCCATTTAAATGTATTTACCACTTGGAGGACAGATGTATGAACAAATTAAAGGCACTCATGTGAGTTAAAGTTGGCAAAGTTGAGAGATACGGATTGGCAAATTAAGGAATGTAATGAGTTTATTAGAAGAGGCTTACTGGAATGCTGGCGTATCGTAGAATTTGGCCAACTTCTCATTGTCAACACGCAACATACACTGAGTGACCGATTTCATGAAATGATAGTCGAAATCCCGAAACGCGTTTACGATTAGGAAAGATTATTAAGGTGAGGTTCTTATACGTTTCATCTTGCGACATAAACATATTATATTTTGTACTCGGTAGGATAACTGCTTTTGAATGCACTTCTTTTCAATTCCCTGTAAACACCGTACTTGTTTTTAAAGTGGCTACTTTAGCAGCATGTATTTTCCATATTGATTTCCGATGGTCAGATAAACTTTATAAAAAAATGAACGAAAAATATGTTTTCGTTCACTCGTTTGATAGGGAATTGCGTCATTTTCATATTTTGTACTCAAAGAAGGAGTACAATTGGGTTTTAAAAGTTTTCTAATTCCGAATACGTTCGACCCCGATTATTTGGCGCATTAGTGCTTATCGACTTCAGTCTACAAGGTGCATGTTTTCTGCTTAAGAAACAACATATATTTCTTTATGTCTTAAAGAAGTTATCATTTGAAATCAATAAAAGTTCACAATGGATGCAGACTAGGTTGTATATTTCATAAGGTGCAGTCGTAAACGGACAAGTACGATGCTGTATGAATATTACTTCGTCGAGTGTAAAATATGCAGACGACGTAATTCCCTATCAGACGAGTAATAGAAAACATATTTGCGTTCATGTTTTTTGTAAAATATATATATATATATACAAAAGACCATCAGGAATTAATATAGAAAATGCTTGCCGCTAAAGCAGCCACATTTTATAACAGGAGATTGAAAAGTAGTGCATTCAAAAACAGATATCCTACCGAGTCCGAAATATTATATGATTATGCCGCAACTTGATATGTATTAGAACCTCATCTAAGTAATCCTTCCTAATCGGAAACTACTTTCGGGATCTCTGCTAACATTTCATGAGATCGGTCATTCACTATACTATTAGTAAACAGAAATTGAAGTGGCATGCTGTATTGGTCATCTCATGCTGATCGATTGCTTTCTGCTTCGTTTTTTAAGAGACGCTCGGAGGATTTAAGCCGCGTGCGTTGTGAACCACAATCATGTGGGTGGAGGTGATCGAGGATCTGTCGGGGTTGGTCAGTCTAGCGGCTCCTCCTCACCGAGTGAATTTGTCGTCCGGCCGCCTTCGCGGCTTGCTTAAGTTCTGTTTGATCGCCTGGTCCTGTGCTTTATGAAGGCAATTGCGCAGTACGTTTTAAGCTGCAGGAAGGACCGAATGACTATTGATGGATTTGTCATCTCAGTACCGCACCTCAAGTGTTACCCTTTCTGTTACTGAGTTTCCCATCCTAAGATAGTACCGCCCTGGTAATCGAAATTATGCTAAATTTCCTCAACATCCTTTGCAGGTTGAGAGATTGGATCTCATCCCCGTGTTGCCTTTTGGGTCCCTGTCAAGCAGGCCTGATTGTTGAAGTTGTTCTTAAAAGGACTGTACAATTAGTGTTCGCCAATTTCAACCAAAGTTCTGTTTTTAGTTATGTCAACGGCAATTGTATCATTGACAAATTATCTAATGTCGAGTTTCTTCAAGTCTTAATGAACTCAACTGGCCTGAACAGAAAAATCACGACGAAAACCGAAACAAATTAATGACTGTACGACTTGGGCAGCACATGTTGGCGACGCCAAAGGCGGCTGCAATCAGGCTATGCGAACTGGTTTTATGCGTACAGAAGAAATTCATGCAAGTTCCACAGTTGTCATGGTTCAAAGCCGCCCAGGTCAGTTACCCGCATATAATTACCTTTCGCGGGATCCACCTTCCCCCTGGCGCTGACTGAGATTTTGGTGTTTCACTTCTCTCCCCTCACAAAACACGAAATACTGCAAAATTATCTACTTTTCCGTAAATTTTGACTGATTATTTCAATCACCATATAAATATGAATGAGTTGGTCTAGATATTATAAAGCCTTTTTCCAGTTTTTCCGACCCCTTACAATTTGCATAC